TGCTGTGCGTACTTCCCTTTGTTTTGATCTCTTTTGCCTCTGGTGGGGTTAAAGGTCACTTTTCTATCTGCCCAATCACTTAGATATCCATAAAGTTGTTAGAATTTATGACATTTTTTAAAAACTGCATATGGTTTTATCATAATTGAGGAGATTGTTTTTTTTCCAGATGCCATATATGACTGCGCATCACTGTACAGCAAGAACTACAGGATCTCTGGCGAGTACAAACTGCCAAAAGATGAGTTTCTGGGAACACCTGAGCTGAACGTAAGTTATACTTCAGTGTTGTGTAAAGCATGTATGCATTGTGCACTTTTTGGTAGAGCATGGTGAGGCATCTGCATTCTATTACATTCTGGTAAATACTTTCAGGTCTACTGTGATATGGAGACAAATGGAGGTGGTTGGACTCTGATCCAAAGGCGCAAAGTCGGCCTGACCTCATTTAACCGTGACTGGAAGCAGTACAAAAGTGGATTTGGATCCATCCGTGGAGACTTCTGGCTAGGCAATGACCACATCTTCCGTCTAACAAGGCAGCCCAGTGTGCTCAGGATTGAGATGGAGGTACATGTTGGAAAACATGGTATTCGTGTAAGCGTGGGCTGAGACACTAAAGACCAAGAAAACCATGCATAAACCATTTCATAGCCAAAAGTAAAAGGGCATAAACACAGAACCGATCTGTTCCTACGGGTACTGAGCATGAGAAAATTAATAATAAATCAAACTAACTGTTAGAGACGTTAGGGAGACCATGAGAGCCAATATTCTCAGATTCCTTCACCATCACTTTGTAAATCATGTTATATGTGTTTTCCACTGCAGGACTGGGAAGGAGAGACTCGCTATGCTCAGTATGACTTCTTCACCGTGGGTAATGAGCTAAACAGCTACAAGCTCTTCCTTGCCAACTACAGTGGGAACGCTGGCAACTCCCTGCGCTACCACAATAACACCAACTTCAGCACCAACAACAAGGACAATGACAAATGTGTTGATGACTGTGCTTCCCTGCGCAAAGGTAAATTATGACAGTAAACCCACAGATAATAACCCATGTAGTTATTTATTGTAGATGTTACAGGTAGTCTTCAATTAACATGAAGTCTATCTAACTATTTTCCCTGATCTCCTTCCAGGAGGCTACTGGTACAACTGCTGCACTGACTCAAATCTGAATGGCGTTTTTTACCGCTACGGTCAGCACTTAACAAAGAACGCAGATGGGATCACTTGGTATGGCTGGCATGGCTCCAACTACTCCCTCAAGAAAGTGGAGATGAAGGTGCGGCCAGTGGATTTTCAACCATAAGTGCTTCAGCTGTGTGTCCTGGATCAAGATCATACGCATGAATGCTGAGAGATCTCACTAAATACCTGTTCAACCAAATTGTGGCTTTCCCTTGACTGCGAAAGGAATGCAAATGTAGTTGTGTGATGGTCTGGTTAAGTTTCAGTCAGATGAATGTGTAATGTTTTTGCCGTGTTTGATTGTAAATTGTAGTTCATTTTGTGTATTTATCAGTAAAATATTTTATTTTTCAAAAGCTTTGATAGATGCTCTTTTACCACTGTCCCGTATGGGTAACTGGATTTTGATTCCTTCTCTCATTTGTCTCGAAAGCACTAGGATGTTTTTTTTTAGTTAACACAAGGCATTTATGGATAGTAGCAAGAGTCCAGAGTGGTCTGGTTCAGGAATAACTCATTGAGGACTGGTAGGAATTAATTAAAAAGGATCTTTGCGAGTTGCTGGAATGGGATCAACCACCAAAGATATTTCCTATGAATTACGCTGCATTTTATTGTAAAATTGTAACCTTTGATGATGGAAATGTGTCACTTGTAAAATGTGTACAGCTCTGTAATTATGATGTTTTATGTGATAGAAAATAAACATATTTTTTAAAAGAAACAAGGTGCATAACCTGTCTCACACAAGTCATACAACATTTTTCTTGGCTAAATAGCACAGCTTAAATGTGGCAAACTTAATGAAGGTCTAAAGGCAAACTGAGATTTTGTGTCCATTCATGTCCAATAATAGCAACATATTTGCCTTGAGCCACCGACCTCTGACTCTCAAGTCATCTCCTGACACCCTGGCCAAAGGTCCAGGGCATTTAAGCCAAAAACAGGAATGAAGACCACACACTCACTCTATTCTGCCGTCGAGTTGAATGCCTCTAGGTTTACTACCTTGAAAACAATAACACCATTTTGCTACGCTTTGGAACAACAAAGAATTCCTTAGAGCATTCAAATACCTACAGACAGGGAGCACTGCCTACACAGACTCAGTGGTAGGCTGAGTGAAATTCTCTTCCTTTTACGAGAAGACACATTCAGTCAGGGTAAACATCTAATTAAAGCTGGAAATTATCTTAAACCTTTAAAAGAAAATGACCACAGTGGAATGAGCTCTTTCTTTCCTAAGGTTTTAAAAGTATTCAAACTTGTTACCAACAACAAAAGCAGACCTCAAACAGTGGTGCAGAAGTGCAACTATATGAGGTCAATTACTTTTAAAGGTACAACACGATCCTGACTAGGATGCCTAACGTAGGAAACTCAACTGCTGCAAATAGAATTTATTGCTTTCTTCTTGAGAGTTACACTTCAGTAAATACGGTTACCAAAAGTTGTAATTATTTGATAAGCATGTTGTGTAAAGGTTCCTTCGGCAGGTATTACACCCAAAAAATCACAGAAACTACAGTGTAAATATGAATTGTACTATCCAGAGGTTGTCAAATGGCTTTGTTAAGCCTGGGCGAACACATTAGGTGTTTTTAAACCTGAGAGACTTTTTCATATTTCTAAGAACCCCACTCCTTGTTGTGTTTGCACAATAACAACTAACTACAATCGTCATTCTTAGAACAGCATTTTGAAGGACTTTTTAAAGCTCCTATTTCAGGGTAGGTACTATCCCAGCACTTAAGCAACCATGAGTGACGCAAGTATACTCTGACTGGTCCAGATGTGAGTCTACCTTGATTGGCTGAACACAGCCAAAGTTATGGATTCAACTGTAAGCTACATTTTGTGATGTTGTTAAACTGAATTGCATTATATTGTCTTCCTGCTTTTTACATTTATATAAACCTTTATTTCTATTCAATTTTATTTTTTAAAGCCAAACACAAATCACAATTTGCCTCAGAGGGTTTTATGGCATACAACATCCCTCTGTCCCTTTGACCCTCACAGCAGATTGATAAAATCTTTAGAAGTATACTTATAAGGTGTATGAGGTGTTCCTTTTCTCAGACAGGTGTAACCCACACTTCTGATGCAGTCATAACAAAAGTAGAAAATCCTAAGTTTAAGAATCATGTGGATATTGGATTGCGTTATATTGTACAAGTGTTCCAGCCTCTGTGTCGACCCCCCTTCTATTCATACATTGAGTCCATTTTAGAAGTTGAGAAGTAAACTAAAATAATGTACACAGGCCACTGGGATAGCTAGGATAAGATGAGATTTCGCTTAACAGTTTGCAGACCTCTCTACATCTGAACATACTAAACTTTATTTAAAATTCCATTTCCAAGCATTTCCATAGTGGTCCGTAACATTATGGCTACACCTTTATTATCAACACATGGTCCAGATGCAACAATACCCAGCTCCAGTCGCTATAGTAGTGATGGAACCACCAAACTTAAAAGTTACTCAAATGAAGCCGCACTTTACTACTGTCATCCCAACATTACATTTGAATAGAGATTGTCAAATTCAACAAAATATCAGAAAAACAGAAGCAAATGGCTACTCCAAGTTAATCTAAAGACCACATGTATGATGTACCAATAACACCATAGGCCAAATGCTCAATTAACTATGTTCCTCTGCTGTTGGGAAATATGGGGAAAATGTGACCAATTTCCTGGCTCTATCCAAAGCTATGGGGCCTGAGAATATCGTCAGACCACAAACTAATTATTTTGATTTTCTTAAAATTCCTCACACTTTATTTATATCAGTTACAACTCATAAAGGGTGTACTATAATGAGTATGTCACCTAATCAGACTGAATACCCTGAATTTCAACTGAAGAGCCATAAAAGAGAATTCCAAAAACAATCCCTGAAATAATCCCAAACTCATCTAAAAACATCATGACTCATCAAGAACTAAAATAGCAGTGACGATGCCTCCTCGTCATCATAAAGTGTTCATCAGATATGAACTTTTTTTTTTCTTTAAATACAGCAGCCACTCAGTACAGCCAGGTTTACGTAGTGCTTTTGCACATCGGCCTCTAGATCTTTTATGGGAAATCCTGGAGAGGTGAGAACCAGATGGGGATATTGAAAACACCAGAGTGCCGGCTCCCATCATTCATCATCATCAAGGCTCCTGAGAAATTGAAAACAGGCCCCCGAGAAACACAAGTCCAGACACTCTTAGATGAAAAGGAGGCAAGCGTCCAATTAGATGCCTGGAAAACAGATTTCTCCATGCCATGCCAAAGGCACAGAAATAAAGAAGGATGAGAAAAAGGGATGGAAAAGATGACAGACGATATCAAAGACTTATGGGACAGAAGAATATGTGTAATGTATTTTTTCTGTGTATTTATTTGAATAAAAATTGACTTTGAGAGAATAGTTTAATGTTTGTCTGTAAGAAATAACTTCTAATGCAGTAACTGTTAATCACAGAGGCACCTGTCAAACCTAGTTTCTGTGACGAGGATGACTCAACTCCGGCAGGAAAAGACCTCCCACCAACACTGACTCATGTTATAGTCTCAATGTTACCAAGAAACTGTTTGTCACAGGAAGTTCTAACTTTGAAGAAGCTACATATTATAGCTATGTAAGAAGCTACATATTCCTTTGGCTCTACTATAGCTTCAGTTGAAAAATTGTTACTTGGAGCAAAGGAGAAATACATAACCTAACAGTAAGTTATTATCTCTGTTATTTCTATGTTATTCTTGGTTTACCCTATCAAGAAAAAAATGTGAGCTTGCTATTTTCAGTCAAATACTGTAATGAAGAAACACAGAGTTCAATTTCTCACAATTAGTAAAAGCCATGCATTGTTTTCATTAAAAAAGAAGAAAAAACAAAGCTTCTGAGGTTTTCAGACCACCTACCTGATAAGAGACTCCAGGATGAGAGGAGAAGGCCCTTTCTGAAACTCCAGCTCTTTGTAGTGCAGAGCTTTGGCGTAGGCACGACACTTGGCAGCTCTCTCACCAAGCAGCACAATGCCATTATCATCTCTGAGAGGCAGAGGTCCCTGAAAAAAGTAAAGTAATTGAATAAAATAACCAAAGTTGTTTCCTTAATAAAATGAATCTTTAATTTACAGCTGTCAGTCTGTGACCTCTTCTATCCTCTATCAGCAATTTGTAGGCTTTGCATCATCAAGAACTTATTATTCTGCTAAAGTCTCAAAGACTTATTTACCATATAACACAATTACTGTGAATGACTGAAATAATTAAGCTCATGTGCAAAAGGGTGTCTGGTGGCCTACAGAAAACATCTTACGTCCTTCTTTCCACTGGCTCAATACAGGACACTTTATATGTGTTTGTCTGCAGCCTCACAGCAGGGGTATCCCCGCTGAAATGCTATATTGTGACCGAGCCACGATGGTCTCTGCCCTGAACGTAACAGTATCGCCAATAATTAGCTCAACATGTGTGGTCAAACAGTGGACTTAAGTTAACGGGCCATCTTTAAAGGCTTTTTCTGTTAACTTTTTGGTAGTCTTGACACATCTGTTGAACAAATATTGCTGTGGTTTTTAAGTGTTATCTCCTACATTCCTGTTCCTATTTATATCACAATAGTCTGGCTTCCATCCAAATGTAGCACAAATTTTTACCAAATTTTCAGTAAACTGGGAAAAGAAAAGGTGCATTGATGGGCTTCTGATGTGTGGAGAGCACCATGGACCATGGAAATAGATATTTTTGGGCAACTCATATTATAGCTCTGTACTTCTGAAAAGAATTCTGGTAACAGCCCTGAGTTCATAAATGTGTTAAAAGCCATCCAGAGATGTCAAAAAGAGCTTACATTGGCTTCCGCAAAGACAGTGCATTTCCACCACCCCCTAGCGTAAAAGAATTTTTGCAATACTTGAATTGAGTTTTTTCAAATTTTTGGCATTTCCACTCAGATTTCTTGATGTGCAAATTGAAAATGTGCATAAATGCATCTTGTGATAGCTTTTAATTAACTGTTATGAAGTACAACATACTGCAGTTGGGGCAAACATCAAACCTACAACACAAAATCCATCTTAACACCTTTGTATTGAAAACCACATGGATTGCACCCACATCACCGTTCCTGTGACGTAGGTATCCTGACTCCGGTAAACTGTAACATAGGTGTGTCCATAAAATATGAGGGCAAAGTAAATATTTGGGTGGTTTCTCTTATTGGCATTACAAATCTATTAGTTGCCTCTATGCACGTTCCATTATTTGAGATCATAAACTTTGCCTTGCACCTGGTTCACCATGTAAATTTTCCGGTAGATGCATAAATTCAAACACCGAATGTGTTCACGTCCAACTAAATGTAAAGAAAGATTGATGACAAAGAAAGACATAAAATTAACAGAGCAAAATTTACCATCATTTGTGTTTCCACAAGGACAACATTAAAACAGATGATGTTTGAACCGATCTATTTAAGCGCAGCCTATTTTCAAATGGCATTTCAATATCATGTAGTGGATGTAATGTCATGCACATCCCTTTGGCATTTACTTTTTGCTCCACAAAGGGGCTGGACCGCCTGTTTCATAAAAAGCTCAAAAATGGACATGCTATAGTTGAGTCACTGGTAACAGAGAAAAGCATCTAACCCTCTCAGATTTATGATGGGTGGTTTGAGATGAAACTCTATGAGGCATGAAAAGCTTCATTTATCACCCCTCTAAATGCACTGCCAAATATCAAACATTGAATTTAGGAGGACTTTAATTTGGAAAATTCAACAAGATATAGACCTGCAAGCCCCCTAATAAAATTTGACGTGTGCTTCAGTCTAAACTGTATCACAGTGATTCTGTGGTTTAATGCAGCTGCTGCAGTTCGATGCTGACCTTGTCACTGTGCTCCATGAACTCTGCCAGGTTTAGCAGAGTCTGTGTAACCTCAGCGATGTCCTGGGAGGTGAGAGCCAACTCGATGCTGCGGATGAGCTCATCCTGCTGGTCCTCACTCAGCTCAGACCAACAAGACAGGAAGGCTGCATTGAACAGGTCCCTGTGGAGCACAGAAACAGTATTTACACATTAAAACAAAGATACACATGTGACACATTTCAATTGATTTTGATATTTCACAGAAGCAGGCTTTAACTGAATTTGGGAGAGCAGCACATCAATCAGTGGCAAGATTAGTTTATAACTTGTAAGAATCACTGTATATGCAGGTACATTGTTGTTTTATAGCTTTGACTACAGAGCACAAGGATTTTTCAGTGACAACCTGCATTACATCTACAGTAATGCACAGTCACATCTGGAAAGCAGCTCTGCATTGAGCAGATCCACAACAACAGTTTCACTGCTTTTCTCAGTGGTGCCTGTCCGAACCCCTCAGTTTTCCTAACACTAGTAGAAGTGCTAAGTAAAAAGACAGCTTCAAATTCTTTTATGTCTCTCCTATGGCAATTATGTAAATGTTTTCAGTGGTTATGGTCTATTATGGATGTGGAAAATTAAAGGAGCTGAACGAATCATTCAGCGCATTAATATAGCAGCAAACAACTATCTGCTATGTGAAGATACAGTGAAGTAATGGCATCCTAAGCAGAGAATGAAGTCACGCTAACGCTGTGTTGTAATCCAAGTTTCTCTGTGGATTGTTGTGGAAACCGCGCCAGCTGCACATGCATGTTACTGCATGTGAGTCCCTGTGTGTGTATCCCACTGGCTAGCTCATCACCGTCACTCTGCACTGTGCTCAACTGGCTGTTACTGCTGATGCTGGGATAGCGTATGGCAGCCAACAGTGTTAGCTCTGTCAGCACTTTTGCTGTTGATAGTGCAGTTTACTGAGTTAGCTGTTAGCTTGTAGCCGCCAGCTCAACCCCCTGCATGTTGAGAACTGTGTGCACATGATCCTGCTCCAGAATCTGAATATCACTAACAGCTCCTTTAAAGAACTTTTATAAGGCAGAAATAAAGAAGGAATAGACGACAAGGAAGTGAGATACAGAGGTTGACCTTAAGGAAGTAGCCTACCTGGCAAGAGGAATGTAGGTTTGGGCCAGTGACCAGCATGATCGTAAGGCTGGGGAGGACGACTCCTTGAGCAGGACGACACTCAAGCGCCTGAGCCACTCCAGCCAATCATCTTTGGACACCTTCCTGGCAGCACCCCAAGCCTGTGAAGAGACAGACATCATCCATCTCAGAATGGACTGGGAACTACGTGGGAGAAACTCAGTTTCTCCAGACCTAAGTGTCACAGGTAATGTGTGTGGGATGATCTGGAGGAGATGCACTCGTAAATCTTTTGCTGATAGTCATGAAAAAATGGAACTGCATTCCTCCATAGGATTGCCTCATTTGCTTCTTTGATGATGGTGGTGGAGAATGCTGTGCAACACGTCCATCTACACAAGTCAATCTCCCATGGGTATTCAACTAGGTAGAGATCTGGTGTCTTTGAAGGCCGTAGCAAATAAATCACATCATTTTCATATTTCACACCACTCTGTGACCACTCTGTGACCCCTTGTGCCCTGAATGTAAGCATCTCCATCCACTGTTTTCTCTGCTTATTTGTGCAGGTTTTTCAAATGGTCTGTTCTGTCTTCAATACAAGTAAACTGTGGGCTTTTTCACAGGACTGTTTACTATACACAATCACAATACCGACTGTTAACAATTATGGCAGTGAAACAAACACTAGATTTGTTTTGTTACGTTTCACTATGAACGTGTGATTTAAAAGAACAGTTTTAAAAGTAAAATAACAATTATCCCTTCTGACCTTCTGAAGTGCTGTAGTGCTGACATGAAGCTTCTTCATAGGCCCCGCCTCCACCGGTCCGCTGACCAGAGTGTCACCTTGGTTACTGCGAAGCTGGCGATGTTGGAAGATTAGAGGGTCCTCTTCCTCCTCAGCTAGAGTATAGCCCTGTAATGACCACAAACACACACAGGCCACACACGCACACAGCCCACCCACAGACAAATTCTTGAGTCAAGCCTCAAAACATGTTTTATAAATGTAGAGGTGCATTTCCTTCCTGACGGATAATTGTTGATAAACAGAGCAATGCAATGACTTTCTCATGATGCATTGTATCAAAACAAAAGTTTTGTTTGTTTGTGATTATGTAACTTATAGCTTGACAATGTGTCATGAATGGTTATAATGTTTGGGTCTGACTGGGCAAGAGGCAAAGAACAGTGACTACAGGAGGCATGTTGAAAATGTGCTCAGTGTTTTTGAGAAAACCTGTATATACTTGGGGGACTCACCTTAACAATGCGACATATGAGTATGTCATAACGCTGGTGGTTGATCCTGTGCTTCAGCATCACCTTGTTTACCATGGGAATGAAGATCTGGTACTGAAAATAAAGGGAAAGGGAAGTAGAGTTAATAAAAGGATGTGTGAGTGCTTTATGTGGTTTAGTCTGGCCACCTTTTTCCCCACGCTAGAAGCCAAAAAACTGAGTATCCGGCACTTGTCTCTAACCACCAAGAGTCTCACATCAAAAGTTTTCCCTGCACGTTTGTTGCCAGACGAGGCTGCACGTGGGCTGGTGGTTCTGAGGTTAGGCCTGAAAACGATAGGAGGATTTTGGAATGAGGGAGGAGACGGCATGGGAGGAGAAGGAGGGGTAAATGTGACCTCATCCACTCTCATAAACACCACCCCCTGCCGCCAAACGGTCAATGACATCAGCAGTCTGGCAGGAAGTAATAAAGACTATGGGGGGGTGGAGGGGTTACCGAAATGCTGTTCATGTGAAGCCAGCAGCAGGGAGGCTGAAAGTAGCCTTTTGAAAAATAGCTACATCTAAAAGGAGCCCTGGGGAGAGTCAGAGCTACCTTTTTTCCCAACTGGAACACTAGCGAGGACAGGGTGTCCATAGAGGTAGAGCGCAACTCAGGCGTGCTGTCAAGTGTCCGAACAATCGGGTGGATGATGCGAGAAGCATAGTCTGTGAAGTCCAGGGACTCTGTCAGCCTGTCCAGTGTCTCCAAGGCAACTCTGAGTCACACAGAGGAAAAACAGATAAAAACAAAACGCTTAGCTTCACTCAAACATTAACATGGACATAGAGTGCTTTAAAGGACTCAAAAGTGCACATAAAAGTGTTATGCTCTAAAGAATACTACCAGTGGAAACCCATTCTTCTGTGCAGTTACATTTTTTAATTTCTGTGGTGCAAGTGTATATACAATCATAATCAGACTTCGGAGATAAAACAACAATGTCATCTCAAAAAAAATCTGAAATCTAGTAAGAATGGACTTTCTTTCTACTTCTCACTAGATTCAAAACTCCAGCTACATGAGTACAGGGACAGCTATGTGGAGCACTGACTTGCGAGCCTGCAGGGGTACATCAGGGGCATCAAACAGCTTCACAATGGGAGGCAGCAGCAAGTGCAGGTAGTCATCTAGGTTGGCACCGAACAGCTGGATGGCGTTGAGCATCTGCAAAAGGAGAGCACACGCTGCTCAGTCCCACATACCGAAACACTTAGCATAAGCAGTTCATTTTAATGAGCTTGTTATGGCTAAATGGCCTTTTCTTAGGAATCCCTAAAGAAAAGCTGGAAGGTGCTGGCACACATGCTAGCCTTCCAGGAAAACTATGCATTGCTATGAATGAGTGAGTAAATGAGTGAATATCTTATCTGTATGTCACTCCACAGCGTACAGACCATAAAATATAGTAAAGGGCAAAAGAGCTGCAAATATGACATTTTTCAGGTTCAAACAGAAACACACAATGTGGGGCGTACTGCTGGGCCAGTCATTTACTATACTAAACTGTAAGGCGTATACTATGAAACCCTGATGTCCCAGGTATGAACCCCACTGGAGATCTTCAAAGCACATTTTAGCTGTTCTTTGGCAAAAATGCAAACAAATACTAAAAGAAAAAAGAAAGACACATATGGTCACATAAAACCAAAAGAAATTTATGTAAACCATAATGATATAACCATAACCATAATTATGAACAAACAGTTATACATTAAGGCCACTTTACATTCAAACAGTGATCTTATGACTTTGTCAAAATTTTAGAACTAAATTCTTAGATGATTGGTGGTATGACTAGAGTTGCAACTCACCAATTATTTTCAGTGTCGATTAATCTGTGGATTATTCTCTCAATTAATCGATCTGTTCTTTGGTCTATAAAATGATCAACTGATTTATGAATTGTTAACTACAACCCACATCTTGGCACCACTACAATACACTGACCAAACCTGAGATCAGCCATGATTGATAATACAAATTAATGACCAGCTTCTGCCTGCATTTATTTTTTCCATTTACAGCATAAAATTAAGACTGACTACGCATTCATTGCACTATCCATCATGTCGCTATCATGATGTCACACTGTTTGATACAGTTTGCAACCGAGATTTTATTAGACCCAACTTGCATAGTGTGATTAAGATTGCTGTTAATGCACATTATGTGTCACCTAACTCACTCATTACAAGATCACCTTCTAATAGGAATCTGCTGGCAGTCCTTGCCAGTTTAAATTATGCAAAATGAATCAGTGTCATCAGGATGATTGTAATTAGCAGCAGAGTTGAGATGGAAAACAAATGGTAGCATATATTATGATGATGTTTTCAGTGCAGAGGTTAAGGGGATTCTAATTGGTTGCACTGTCTGAGAGCACAGACACGTCTTAAATCATGTATTCGTATATCATCGTTTTGATTTCTAATGCATCAACACCCAACCACTTCAAAGCTGTCATGACAAAACATGAACTCATGTCTGAGTATAAAGCTATAAATGCATATAGAGATCATTAAGATTTCAGGGCTCACTGGGTGTTACGACTGCCACCTTCATCCAGTCAGCAAGCACTCAACAACAAATCTTAAAAAAAAAACGTAAAGTTAGCTCTGTGGTTGTTTTTTGAGGAAAGCTCCTGTAATTTTGTCTAATGGTCACATCATGTCGTGTTGAGCATGTGTGAGGAATGCGCATGGAGGACGGTGGTCCTAAAGGATGACGTATGTTGCAATGAACAAACCCACCCCAGCCCCCAACACACACCATGACCACTTCCGTTCTTTCCCAGCACCTCCACCCCCACGTCTAAGTTGCGCTTGGCGAGACAGCAGGAAGCTGAGGTGGAGGTGTACAAGTGTGTATGTGAGTGCTGGAGGGGGGGCTGGACAGAACAGTTCCTTGAAATGATCGAAGTATGTTTTTCTTTTCTTCTCCTTTGGAGTAGAGGGTAACCCAATTCCCAGGTCCCCCAATTCATGACCCCACTCCTGTACTAAAGATTAGGCTCCAGACCGAGGTCTGAGTTATAGACTATCCAGACGGTGGGCTGCTGGGTTATCTAATACTGCAGACTCTGAGACAAAACAGCACCAGAGGAGAGAGCACTAGATGACCGTGCTTCTTGTGATTCTGTCTTTGTGGTCTGTGCCCAAACCATGATTTAGGGCTTGAGGGAAAACCCAGACAACTACTGGCAGCAGCTGCTGAAACAAGAGAGTGTGTCAACTACAGATCTATGCTGTCTTTGAACTGCTGTATTACAAGTGAATGGCTTAGACCTGAATGGTCTTGATGGATATCTATGGAAACCACAAAAAGAAAACGGCACCCCAATAAGTCAACAGAGGGCTGTGCTCCTGTGCCTTCTGAAAGAGTGTCGAGTGATGGGAGTACTTCTAAACACACTCCAGCATGGCTGTGCTGGAAAATTAAGTTATCTACTCGAATAACAACTCAAATCTGACATATGATCCTTTCCATCTAGTTAGCGTGCGTTCTCTACCAGATTTATGACACATAACATGTCACGTTTGCTAAATTTATCAGTACAGCTGTCAAAAGTGAGCTAAATGGTCAACTTTGTCCAAAAAATATACATCAGTTCTATAACACATTATCTGGGGCCATGCTTTATTAGGACATGCTATTATTGTTTCATTTTTTTTATCAATTATGGGCAATAAACTTTAACTCTCCTCCGTGACAGCTCCCTGTGTGAAGTGTATCAGTACTCTTTGCTCTTTTCCTTACATCTTTCTGATGCAAAGGATTTGTCCTGCTTGGAGAATACTTACAGTACAGTCTGGCTGAAATCCGCATGACGAAATTTATTCCTATTATTCCCATATTCCATTCCCGGCCAAAAGCCGTGGGAACGGGAAATAGCGTGTGTTGGGTTGTGAAAATAAACTGCTGGAGCATGCTACCAACAGCGGTTCACAAATTTGTTCTGTGTCAAAAAAGAAAAAGGTGTAATTTATTAACCCCTCTTGGAGAAATTCAATTGCTTCACTCCTTTGTTACAAACACAGGCCCAAAATGCACACGAGCACACACAGGACTGACAGAAGTGCACTTTTTTGTTTTGGAGAGATTTCAGAGTGATGAGGCTGCCACATATTTAGGCACTCTGAGAAGTTAGGGGTTTGGTGCCATGCTCTACAGTGCCAAATATATTGAACTATGCGCAAAGTGCATACAGTGCACATCGAATGAATGTGAAGCAAATTTCTGTCTAACTGGCGATTAGACTGGTACCCAGTTGCGTGCAAACAAGATTGTTTAAAGTCAGTATTACTCGCCGCACACTGTCTGTATCCCAGACCTGTATCCTAACCTGCATGCTGAATATAACACAGTGAAATATTTTAGACCCTGCATTATTAAGATCCATGTTTGCTAGCGAGCAATCTTCTTCCTTTCCTTTACTGGTGCATTGAGAATGTTTCTTGGTGCATTACTGCTACAAACTGCTGAAAGCGTTAGACTGCATTCACACCAAATCCAGCACATGTCACTTAAATGCCCTATTTGTGGGGGAATGGAGGGTGGAGAGAAAGTCAGTTTCCCCCATCTCAGCAACTGAGTATTTGACTTCATTAAGCTTGTTTATGCTGACTTAAAAGATCTGTAGAATTCCTTTTCATTATCATTACTGTAGTATCTATACTTCGACAAAAGAAACATGCGGGCACAGAGTTAATGCCAGTGCTTTTTAGGATAGTACACATGAGCTACATACTTTATTTCTTTAATTCAATATAATATTTCATAATAAAAAAGAGACTGTATTACTTCTGCCTGTGGACTGCGAGCGCCTTTCCAGCCGGTAATGTCATTAGCCACCCTAAGTCATGTCATGTTGCTCACAAGAGTGCTCGTGGTCAAAAACTCCACAGGGTACCTTTAAATCTCATTCATCAAACTTTAGCTTTTTTTTTTGATTGAATGACAGGATGATTGATTAGTTAGAGAGATCAGATTATCAAAAGTAATGAAGCTACTTGCTACGAGTAATCAAGATCATTCTTTCAACCTTTTTACTTTCATCAGACTGTGATTCATCAGGTTAATTACCTGCTCTACATCAACAATTCTATGAGTTCGTCCTAAATAGGCAGGACTGAATAATTGTCACCCATGTCAATTGGAAAGCAAAAGTCACAAATAGTTAAAATATAGTTAAATATTGCAAGAAAAGGCAACACTAAGAAACTGACAATGACTGTACAAAATGGAAAATGTTGCATTGCTCAAGGACTTGATACTTGATGGAATATATAGGGGCGCATCGTTAAAACGCACTGAGGCCTCTCTGATGATGCACTGGGCCACAGCAGGCAGTCTGGTCTGTTTTTATTGCAAGTATTTTCAAATGACTCAATTTCTTTTTTATTTCAGCTATTGCTCTGCACTCTGCTGAATAAGCATTCATGGTAGCATTAACCTGTTTCCAAGCAATATCTTTTATATGTTAAGCCTCTGCTGAGAGTTTTAAAAGCACTTTTTTAAAGCTGTTCCAGCTCTATAACCACAATGTCAATTCCAGCCTTCCTGGATTCGTTCCTGTAACCTCCTAATTTGTAAAATCTACTATTTTTATTTTTTCAATTTAATGTTTATGTTTGTGTTTCTTCTTCCCTGATTAATTCTGTAAGTTTTGCTGCTGCAATAGCTGAACTTAAAAACAACTCCTTAATTTTTTTTACCTGATCTGTAATTCTGACATGTTAAACATCCATGTATTACAGTTAAAGGCTCCACCTGTAATCATTATGACGGCACTTTTACATTCACACACATTAATGAAAGTTTTGCGAAGTTTCTCATCTTATCATAAAATAAAAAAATGTGTTTTACAGCAAAAAAAACTTGCGAAACAATAATAGTTGTTATATAGTATTATTTTGTGCAGTAAAAGCCCTGTGAATCAATTAATAAGGCACAGCAGCTCTTCTTTAGAGCCTTTTTTTAATTCTGGTGGCTGGGATACACCACTCTGTGCACTTCAATCACAAACTGTACTTTTAAAATCATAATGAGATACACAACTTTAGCCATTTATCGGCCTTTATTCGCACAGAAGTCGTGGTGATTCAGTCATGTGAACTGCAACACGTTGCACTGACCTTGATGGTAACACTGCGCCCGGTGCTGTTGTCGTGCATGAAGACGCGCAACATATGTGGGATGAGCTGAGGCAGGTAGAGCTTGAACTCTCCACCCAGCGCCACCACAATCTGCTCGATCAGAAGGATGATGGTGTTCTGCATGGGGTTGTTTGGTGTCCAGTACTCCTACGGAACAAAACATAAGATGTTGGCATGTATCAAAAATACCATCATAAAGAATCCTGTTCTTGTCATGTTAAGAGGTCAGACTGTCTAGAGCAAGGTGTGTACAGGTATCAGACATTTAAATGTAATGCTTTTTGAGAAGATTTGAAAAGATTATTTATTAAAACAAATGTAAGTCTCATTTTCAGACAAATCATCTTTATCTTATTCTTTATATGCACTGCAGGTACGTATTAGCTCAGCTGTACCCATGTGGTCATCAATCAAAGGTGCACAGGAAGGTTTTAAGCAGGAATATGGTTCTTAAAGTGAGTTAGGTTAATCTACAGTTTGAGATTAGGAAAGTGCAAGTATAAAGTAAAAAGACAGTATTAGGTTCAGTGGTAGGTTTAAAGATTTCAGAATGTGAACTTTCACACAGAGGAGCTTGCCAAAAAGAAATTAAAAGATGGATAAATAAAATTAGATAAAATGTTGCAATTAAGACCCTGCAAGTTCAATGTAAATCTATTAAATGATTTTTAAGGCCCAATATTCATAAAATTCAATTCAAGACATCGTTTTAAGGACCTGCAGACACCCTGGTCTAGAGAATCTCTTGGTCAAAATGATCCTCAGTGTGATCTAAAAAATGCACAAACTAATAACACCTAAGTTAACAGACAGATGTGACTGTTGCAGTAAGTCATACGTTTGTCCTGAAAGAGAGTGACCTCAATTCAAGCGAGTCCAATTTCTGAATATAAATTTTTAATATTCAGAGGGTACATCCAAAGAACTTAGTACAAAACACTACCTCATCCTCCCTGCTGTCCTATAGTGTTTGTGTGGGTCTAAAATTGGGTCAAAATGTGTTTCCAGCAATGAGTTGAGTGTGACAGAGACATTTAGACAGATTTCCCTCTGGAAATACAAAGCTTTCACTTGCCAGAGGCAGAGAGGGTCACGATACTAGATGGCGAGGAATGGGGACAATTTCCTGTCCACGGGGACTGACATCACGTCTGTGTGGCTTATAACACCGTTTTGGAAAATCTAGGCATGGCCACTGTGTACATAAGAGATAATGGCAATTGGAGTCAGGGTGGAAGAATTGAAGTCACGCAATACGTCAATCAGTCAATGGGCTTCAGCTGTGAGATCTGGCCGAGGTGTTTTGTCAGTGACCAGAGATCTCAAGCAGCCCCCGACTTCCTGCTTTCCCTGCCTGTGGCAGCTGACTAGAGAGAGGGGTGAGTGTACATCCTGAATGGCTATTCCAGCCCCCTCATCTGGATGCAGGAGCTGAGCTGGAGAAAAATGAATAGATTCTTTGTTTCACTTGCAATTTATTAACTCAGAGGGACTCGAGGCGCAGTGGTTCAGTTCTCTCAATTACTTTCCTTCAGGAGGAGTTACCACCATAGAAAAAGTGCTGGTAACAGTGTTACCAAGATTCCAATACAAGGACAGTCATATGATATTTTGTGCCTTGCTATATGATTATGTGCTAGACAAGTGTGTTTGTGCAAGTGCAAGAGCTATGGCTTTAGCAGTTGGTGGGTGAATGTCAGGAATCCTCACCAGTTTTCTCTGAATTTGACAATGTGAGCTGTTAGAAAGTGTAATTCTGAACAATAAGCATTTCTAAGGCCCTGTCTACATGTATACAGATATTGTTGTGAACAGATATTTTGCCCTACGTTTAGGACTCTTGTCCACATGCAAACTGAGTTTTAGGCAAATAAAACAGAGATTTGTGAAAACACATTTTAGGGTGCAGATTTTCCAAACTTCTGGTTACTTTGTGTCTGTGTAGTAATGTAGAATGTAATGTTTGGTGAACAGTAACATAATTTCCTCAATGCACATATGCCCATTATTGCTTCATGTAATGAGCATGTGTCAGAAACAACAACAACAATGGCAGACTACTAGTTTGTTTACGCATTGTCAACACTGCTTGGTCTAATGACTACTTCACTCTTCAACCGAGTATTGCTACAAGTCCATCAGAAAAGGCAGTTTTGGATCATGCCCAGTCAAACAAGCAGATGGTGGGACAATTTCAGGAGTGGGATTGTGGTCAATGAGGAATGGAGGGAAAACATCACTCGCATGTTTGAGTGAGTTCCTTTGTCCTTATACCGAAGGGGAATCAACGTTGATCGACAGTTGCTGTTTTGAAATAGATAACATTAGCCTGTAGACTTTACTACCTTTGCAACAAGTGCAGACCGCAGAAGGCAGCTAATGCCAGCGAACGCCAGCGAACGTTTAGAGTTGTTTTTGCGTTCTAGTGTGGACGGAGGCAGATTTTTTTCTTAAATAGAGGGGGAAAATATTTCAAACATTTTTGCATTTTCAAATACATGTATATGTTTAGGAGGTCCTAAAAAGGAGAGTAAAAAGAATATTATCCAAATGACGTGAATTTCTCACTCTCCCAGACCCACAGCATCACTAATCTTGTTAATGAGTACCAAACCACACATGATGTGTACTGCTGTGTGACATGGGGCCAGACTTCATCCCTGGGCCTTCAACACATTACTCCTAATGAGGGAAGTAGAGAGCACAACTGAGTGCAATTAAGAGTTTGCAGCTGTTTGCCTGACTCACAGGAAAATAAGGGAGGCTGGATGATCAGTGTTTAGGGATTGGGATCGGTGGCAGGGGGGAGAAGGAGGGATGTTGACACAGTTACTCACTCTGATGAGGGTAAAGATGTCGTCCATGTAGGGGCGGATGTGGATCTTCACAAAACACACTACCATTCCCATCTGCTGAAAGAGGAACTAGAGAACAAAAAAAACACAGAGGAAACAAAGAGTGAGAGACTTGCTTTAAAAATAACTGACATCATTCACCAGAGGTAAACAGATAACAAATCAACCAGACAGCCTCTTTCCTCTTATTCTGTAGCGCTACCTACCTCTCGGATACTGGCGTCACAGACCCGGATGACATTGAGGAAAGTGGGCATGACCTGCGGCAGGAACTGGACACACTTGAGGCCTAGAGACTTGAAGATGAATGTGACAGCCTGGACCACCATGGTATGGTGGTTCGAGAGTGAGGGGTCTCTCAGGATGCGCATCAGAGTTACAATTGCTACAGCGGGGTAAAACTCATCCAATGGCAGGTTACCCATGTTCACTAGCATCTCACTGGTGCTGTAGTCCGCTGTAATGAAGGGAAACACAACAGTTCAGTCATTTTTGCTGCAAATGAATCGTACAACATTTGCAACTTCTCACACTCTTGAGGAAGAAATGGCTGTATGGTGTGCAATCATCTAAAAGTCGCTGCTATATTTTTTTAGAATCACTGTTAAGGGTCTCAGACTAAAACAAGAAGCACACCCTGACACAACTAGAATTACTGCCTCGTGGTTTTATGCCTCTGTGAACCAGTCAAGTTGCAGTAACAGTTTGCATTCATGTCTGTGAAAACGTGGATGTTTCACACACATCTTCCCCTCAGCAGCACAGAAGATCAATCAGCACAGTCTCAAGATTAGAGTCACCATTTAGTGTCTGACCAAATGTCTCCCCTTCTGTTCCTGAGATATGATGCAAGAAGTAATAGCCAAAAAATAATTTTGCAGAACATAATGATTCCACAGTAAATTGACCTTTTGGATATCAAATATCATCATTTCATCATTTCATCCTATTGGACATTTTTATGAAATTTTGTAATAATTAGCACATGAATTCTTGAGTAATGGCCAGAAACATGTTTTGTGAGGTCACGGTGACCTTTGACCACTAAATTCTAATCAGTTCATTCTTGAGTCCAAGTAGATGTTTGTGCCACTTCGAGGAGATTCCTCAAGGCCTTGAGATGTCGCGTTCACAAAAATGGGACAGACACCAGGCCAAAGTGACTTTGACCTTTGACCACCTAATTCTCATCATTTCATTGTTGAGTCTCAAGGCATTCGTGAGATATCACATTCACAAACCCAAAAATATAATGCCTCTCGTCATGTCTGTCGTCAAAGCGGAGGTATAGAAAATCAAACCCTAAACAGATTGCCAGTGTATCACAGTATCACAATATGTTTAAGCTGTGTCCCAAATTAGAAGCTGCTTTCTTCAAAATCTGTGGTGGTGGGGTGCTTTGATTTTTGTTGGTGGGCTAAAACTCTTATTTTGGATCACAGTTTTGGCTTTAACTTACTATGTGAAGCCAGCAATGGTGTCAGTCAGAAGCAATAAGCTTCAGACTGTAAAAAAACACTTAAGCTCAATTCTCAAGTATAAAAACTGCCCATATAAACTATTTGTGGCTTTCCAAATGTGATCATACCATCACAAGTATTGGGGCATATTTTACGACTATAAATCCATTTCCAACTATAACTTCATCAGCCCAGCCCTTGTGACTATGTAGGACAGAAGGCTATGCCGTCATGACACACAGAGACCATTAGTCAAGCAATAATTCTCCAGTGTCTAAGTTTGGGTATATCAATGTGATTTATGGCCTCTCAAACAGCCCCCCCCCTTACCATCCAAATCAACACCTCTTCCTTCCCACTAAACAGTTGAAAGGGCTTCTGGGGCTGGCTGTGGAGTTTGACAATAATAATAGGCTGATGAGAAAGGAGAGCTGATATCGTTGGCTTGTTGCTGCTGGCTGCTTGTCAGTTCTGGCACCGACCTGTGTTATAGCAATAGACAACAACTCATATAAGGGTTTTTAGAGGAAGACGAAGCTGGACTGCAGCAGCTGATGACTGTGCCCTGGTTTGTTTTGTCTTGTCTAAACCCCAAGAACAGCTATGGAACTATAACTTTGTTTGCCACCATAAGCATAGTACTGTTTCTCTTTTGAGCTGCTTTCATTCATGTTTTGGCATTATGAGGTCATGCACAATGATATGGGTTCCCACGTATTTAAGTTTCAGTCAGTCACAGTTACAAATTAAATGACATGAAGCACAGGATATGCACGAACATTATAAACAGGATATAGAGAAATACATGTTTCCTCTGTGCTACATAAATTTTACATTAATCACAGGGCAAAGGCTGAGTTCAGATTAGCAGAGAATGAAGCCCCCTCTTTAAATTAACTGAGTGCTGCATTTGCACAGTGGGAAACCAGCTAAAACCCAAAGCTGGGTCAAGACAATTCAACATCACTGCTGACTAGAACATTAAGAGTAATACTTGCTCACCTTGCAAGTGGGGTTAGGCAATTTATCAATATCTCCATATGAGACTAGATATTAGATTTAGGATATCGTAATATCATAGGTGTTTTCTCTTCCTGGTTTTACAGGCTGCATTAGAGAAAGTGATGTAATTTTCTAGACTTACCGGATTCTTCTACAGTGTAGCTGTTCTATTATTTGTCTTTAGTCCCTTAAGTCATTTTATCCAGTACTGATGACTATTTATCAAAAATGTCATTGTTTAAATATTTTGTATAAGCATCAATATTCACCCCTACAATATCAATGCAATGTCGATATTCAGGCATTTTCTCAAAAACACCCTGCCATGACAGAGTTGTAAAAATCTTGTCCCACAGTATTTTAGAAAGCTGTGGAGCATTTTGGCATCTAATAAACCTTTAAACTCATGGATATATTTACAACTCAAACCAGCCATCTTGGATCAACATCGTGTGTTTCATCTTCTCGTGGGTACCTGAAGCAACACACCCACACCAACACAGCAGGCCCTTGCTTTTCTCTCAAACTGTGCCATTTTTGGTCTGAACACCCAGTTATTCTCACTTTTACCCTAAAATTTTGGATTTTTATGTAATTGCTGCCATCTGTAGTAAGCCACTTCAGAATCACCGTTAAGTAAAGGAGAATCTACTGAGCCACATGAGGCTTCTGGCAGTCGTGCCCAAAATTAGAGAGCACAATTTTATGTATTTGTTAAAGGGGCTGTATGCAAAACTGTGCTGAGTGTAAGTCTGGACGCAGTTCTCAAATGGAACTGGTTGAGCCGGTGGCAAGCAGCTAACGGTGCTAACTCCATAAACAGTACTAAAACAACGTCAACACTGCTGACAGAGGGTGGGCGCTACGCTTCTGAAATGACGCCGACCCAACATCAGCGGTAACCTGGGTATGAGCATAGTGTAAAGTGGCAGCGATAAGCTAGCCAGTGGGATACACACATGTCAGCCAGAGTGGCTTACCACAACAAACCAAAGAGAAGATCAGATTACAACTCACACAGGCCGAAGGTAACATCATTCTCTGCTCAGGATGCCGTTACTCCACTATATCGTTACCTAGAAATCAGTGGTTTGCTGCTATAGCAGTGCTCTGAATGATGCATACAAAACTTTTAAAAGAAAGCAAGCAACAGGGGTGGTCTTTTTATAATTTATAATGCATATTTCTTTTTGAAATAAGTAATTTTATTAATGTGTTTTCTGACAGGCAATGCAAATGGGGTCAGTCTGTCCATTTCTTTTATACAGGGCTATTGAGTTTTACAAGGCATCTGAGAATACAGACGTCTGGTATTCAGCGTTTCACTGGCCTTCTGCAGGAGTACAGTTTCAGCTGCTCCAGTTGTCTCCCTAAAGGCTCTGGACTGTAGACAAAACAGATTGGCACAGAGCTTGCAGGCTAAAGAGGGTAACTTAGGATCTTTTATTATTCTGGCCTTCACCAAGTCTAGATTAATGATGGTGATGGATGGCTACACATCTGCATCTTCACAGCCCACAAACAGGCATCAGTCTAGCTAAGTGAGGCAACAGTGCTGTAGTAATTCAGGCTTCAGCTGTGTAGGCAAAAAACTGCACTGTTTTCTAGATATAATACCAGATGTAAATACAGCAAGTCACTGAGAGGGAATACGCACCATTTCATCAGTTTTATGACCCTGAAGTTCTGTAGTGACGTGATCAGTCTTGTCTGAAGTCAGGTGAGGAGACAGGCCTTGCCAATGACCTCCCACATGACAAAATACATGCTGTCGTATTCAAAGTGCTCCAGACACTGACCCTGACAAATCTGCCAACAGATATACAGCCTCCAATTCATGGTCACAGCCCATTGACTCAGAGTACAAACTGGTAAAACTATTACCGTATTGTCCAAGATCACATTTTGAGACACATGACTGGATCAGATGAGTGGGGACCTGCATTCACCATTTTTATAGTAATGAATTGTGAAGATCTCCTGAGGATGATGGCCTTTAAGTGACAGCATGACCTTTTTTTTTGCACCATCATCAGGTCAAATGTTCCATCCATTATAAGCCACATCAAAAGCTCCTGGATTACCACAAGAGTTTGTGTGGTTAGTCAACAGATGATGAATCAGTATGTCTTTGGTAAAAAAACAGGGCCTTTCCACAAGTGCTGCAATTAGGATGAACTCTCTACTGGTAAGGCTCTGAAAAGACTGAAATCAGTAGTATTTTATTTCTTTCATATTGTGGAAAGTAAAGAATTCTGCTGCTTATTGGGCTCCTGGCTCAAGACGGTTATAATTTCCCACAGATATCCTTGCTTACACTGAGTTAAAACAACCCAAGGGTGTCTATGGATATGACCCAAACAGGGCCCAAAATTAAAACCAGCCAAATTCAGGTAGGTTTTCCATTTGGCGAGTAAATCTCAGAAGGCTAACTGCCACACTGGCAGGTAAATGTTTGTGTCAAAATAGTCATGTAATAGAAAATAGGCTAAGAGTCCCACATTTTGGTGTCATTTAGGGATGTGCTGCTCTTTTGCTCCTTGGCTGCTCCTCTGCTGTCTGTGTCTCACACACACACTCTACAGATATTTTTTTATGCACGTGTAAACAATGCCGCAAAATTGACCATCTTGAGTGCCCCTTGTTTTGCAACACCGCTTACCATACAGGACATCAGATGATCATTTGCCACCAATCTGCTGTGAGTTATTGTTGTGCCCAAATTTATGAAGGTAATAAAATAATAACATTGAGGCTCCGCAGACTAAACCAAGAACGCAAACTGCCTACCACATTGTCAACAGCAGCACAATAAAGCTCCTTCCATTCTTACCTTTTACAATCAAAGCCCAAGGCATATACCCTGCATCACTGCTTACCAGAGGGAACGTATTCATACGCTGAGGTTGTGGTGATGAGTTGTATTCAACAGAATACTGTATTATCTAAATGAAATGTACTGAAAAAACTGCATATCTGACAACAAAAAACTGTACTGTATTTGTAATTAGGTATAACTAAGTACTGCAATCATGGTATTTTGAGGCTATTGTGTTTACATGGATTGTGACAACAAACATTTTGACACAACAGATTTAGACAGCACTAAAAATTCTCCACTGATGTGTGATGACGACGATGAATGGCTCGGCTTATATGGTTATACATTTAAGCATAAGCGGACTGCATCAGTATCAATTCTCATACATTAAAAAGTGAGACAAGTAATTTACAGTTACTACTTTTTTATATCTCCACTGTAATAAAAACAACACTTCAGTTATTTTGGTTACAGATCCCTCTGAACTGGCAGAAACTAATTTTAGGAAAGGTTTGGTTGGGTGTAGATCAGACAGAAGCCAGAAATTAGATCCTGAAGAACGAATACTCCAACAAATCTCAAACCCAAAGCCACAGCTGCTATTGACTTTTCAAATGCAGGGGCAAGGTCTCAAAAAATGTGTTTTGTCTTGAGTGCATAGACATATCACTTCACTGTAGAGTATTTTTAATGAGCTGAAGATAATCACAAGTGGTTTTAGTCAAACACTGGTTATGTGAGACAGATTCAGCAATTCAAATGACTGAGACTGAAATCAGTCCTTCTCTGGAGCAATCATATTCTGACCAAAGCAAATTTTGCTGCAAGATTACAAAGGTGTATTTTACTCACAGCTTGTTCCACAACACTGACTTGTAACCAAAGTAGGGGATTCTGTGTGTTCATTCATGGTCACACATGCAAATTTATGCAAAGATCTCACTTGCATGAACAGTTTCATATCTCAATTTGATTTTCCACAATTAAATATTGTTCAATTCAGTGACGCAAAAACATTGCATTTCACTATGAATAGCTGCTTTATCAAATTTATAATCAGTGACCCTCTCTCCTTTTCAAAACTGTTGCCGTGCATCACTAAAAAAATCATGAGCATGACAAAAATGGAGGCAATTCAGTCTTTCGCTGGTATCTCATAAATCCAAACACTGCACAAGAACTGACGAATCAAATTATGACCAACTGCAAATGCCTTGTTTCACATCTCAGATGCCTTTTCTGAATGACATTTACATGCTTACTCTAAAATGCTAACTGCCACTTCATAAGTTTTGTGACCTTTAAAACTGGAGTTGTTTGTTGCAATAAGTCACCTCACAGCCCATCTTTAAAAAGTGTATGATTGTGGAGGCAGATTCCATTATAACGAATGCAGAAGTCCAAGACCACAACAATAAGTCCTCTACATAAAGACAATACTATTCATGTCGCTCACACAGGCACACTGTAATCACATCAAGAACCCCAAGGCCCCCAGTGGACAGACCCACAGAGTGAGATTTTAAAAAGGGTCATATAGAATTAGAGATTTTCCAGCTGTTGCAGAATCGAAAGAGTTTAGAATTTATTACTGCTGTAACTTTGGGGAACACAAATAAAAAGTTAAACTAATCTATATTCTGACTCTTGGTGAAACACTGCTACCCAAACTGTTCCCAAAACCATGATTAGTAACAGTTGCTTACCTGAGTCCTGACTGGATTTGGACTCGGAGAGACTGACAGCAGAGGCGTCTCGCGACTGGTCAATCATGCCGATGTTCACCTTGTGCTTGTAGGGGTCCAGAGCTCCAAGAAGACCCAGTACACGGATGGCCTGTTGGACACACAGCATACACACACACACACACACACACACACACACACACACACACCGTCAGCATGTCTGTCCCCCCTAGAAGACATGTCTAAAAACACAGAAATCTTGATCAAGTCTTGACTTTGATCGGACTACCAATATTTAGAAATAAATCTAAGATCATGGTTTAAGCATTCAAAGAAAACAAGCAATTTTTCATAAACAGTTACAAGGTGCTATCGCTACCACATACTTTTGGAACTCTGTTGAAGCCACTTTAGCCACTTATTAGCAAAGTGAGGACTTCGGGTTTGGGTACCAAACTCTGTACTTTCAAGGGTAACAACCAAATTATGCCTGTGCTACTGGGTACCAATTTACACTAAATCAATCAGTGCCAAATATCAGTACCCAGGAGTGCATCTGAGTGAGAATGCTAGGTTTTAACAAAAGGCAGAAGTGCGGCAAAGCACCCTGAAGGCTGGATGCCAGCCAGAGAGCTCAGAGGCCAGCAGCAGAGCTCCACGGGCCCACCAGGGTTAACTCTCTCCTTTAACTTTCTCCTTCAGCTGCTCTGTTAACTTCCCAGCTCGCCAAAAATATTGCTGCAAAGCTGATATATCACAATAATTTAATAGCCTTGTGTCACTGCTAGACGAGCAGACACACACTTAAAAAGCAGACAGACAGACTGAGAAGAATGATTTGCTATATGAGTGATTAGAAAAAAAAAAAGATTAGCAGAATTGTATTTTAGTCTACCATGTCACTCTTGTAGCTTGTTCAAAAATTTAATTTTTGTTATTACAGAGAAGGTACAGTACCAAAAATGGGATCGTTAGGTACCAGTACTGAATTCCAGGTACTGGAACTGGTACCAGTTATAAGTTAAAAGGTACCCAATCCAATTGAGGACTATATGGAACATAACGAAAATGTGCATCAGCAACAGACGTTTGGAGAATACTGCATGAGTGGTTGGAGAAGCCTCTACTGATGTTATGATATTTTTTTCCAGGACTCTGAGACCCCACTGGAATCTGTAGTAAGTGCTGTAAATCCAACCTGAGCACAGCTGCTGTCATCTGTAAAGTAGTAAGCAGAGCCATCTTTCAGGCCTGCAGGATGAGAGTATTTGATAATAAAAAGACAGATTTACTGTGGGATATTCCTTTCATATAAACATTACAACACAGAAAAGTAAACTAACATGTGACATAAATGCTTGATGTAAAAAGTTTGCAGTTTATTCCTTCAAGGAGTGCTGAGGCTATAGCACAGAGTACACAGTCACCCTAAAGTAGCAACTACCAGTGGATAATTAGCTCAACAGGGTTTCAGATGGATCAGATAGTGGAAGGGCGAGAGTTGCCCGAGCCAATTTCCACATGCCACACATCATACACTGACAATGCACTCCTTGAGACTCACGTAATGTAATAGGCGAGGGAAGAAACTTTGACAATTTTCACTTACATCACAGCTTAAGACTTAGCAAAAAGTTCCATATAACTATGGAAAATGTGCACAGCTTCATACAGTATGTATTTGTGTGGTTATAATTCACCAGTCATAGTCAATACATTTAAACTGACCTTGATTTGGTTAGTATATGTTGACAGGTTGGATTTCTGGCCTCATAATGAGTCACTGTGTGACAGAGTGGGGTTCATATTGCAACAAAGAAACCCATAGTGGAAAGGAAGGGTGCATACCTCTCTTCTGATGCCCTGATTTTGTTCCGTCTTCAGGAAGTTGAGCAGCACCTCCAGAAGAGAGGGGTACTTGCGGTAGGGCTCCACCACATAACCTGTACTAGCCACCTGCTGCCCCAGTGTCCACAGCGCCACCTGGTGGAAAGTCAAATGCAGATTCTCTCTCAACAATGCATCTGATGGAGAAGCAACAAGTCTGGGATACACTTTTCTTTGCAATGATAACCACCATCATAATAAAATGTATCTACCTAACAAACAATGCAACAACGGTTACTTTATGATTTGGTTGTACTCTTATTATTCATCTTGTTCTGTTTTAAATTACAACCATTAATCTTGTTTGCCAGTCCCTGCCATCAGTTCAAAATACTTTTCAGCCCCTTATTGATAAGTCATTGGTTAATCCTTTTCAAATGAGCCCTCCCAGTGTTTCTGTTTAAACAGGAAATACCAGAAGCACAGTGCTCTAAAATGCTTTCTGAGTGACTAAATGTTTCCAGAAATGACATCCAGTTCTGTTTACTGAAGTAGATGCGTATTTACTGTACCCAGGAAATAAATATTTTTCGGAACTTGGAGTAAAGAGAAACTAGAACCAGATGAAGCAGACACATTTTTTTTGGTGTACCTGTCGTTTGGCCAATGAGGAGGAGTCCTGCAGCATGTCCATGATGATTGGAAAAAGCTCGTCCATCCACTTCCTCATTTCCAGGCCGCTCACCTGATAGGGTAGGCACAGAAGAACCAATCACAGCAAAGGAAATCTCATACTCAATTTTCTGTCATTAAGATCTTCTAAAATCTACAAGGGACTGAACAATTACTTTTGACATTAAAATGATGCCAGTGATGTTATAAAAATGCATTATATTCTGTCTATGTGTTGCTTTCATGTTGACAGCACTAATTTGAGTTCAGATTTGTTAGGGTAGGTGGGGTGCCATGTTGCAACATTTACTGCAGTATCTTTTCTGATACTACCACTATGAGCTACCAAAATCTGAAATTTTCTAAACATACTGGTTTTGGCTTGCATACGTTGTTTCTTTCTGGGTTGTTGCTGTTTTTTTGCATTCAATTTGACATGACATTTAAAGGCTCTTGACTGTATCCCTACGTTTTCTTGTGTCTTCCTGTGCCGGTTCCTGAGCAGATGGGCTCCTGTCTCTTCCTGCACTGGGTCAACTGTGAGCACTTGTTCTACCTGAGCATCTCCTGCACTCTGTCTGAACTGCAGAGTCTGCCTGACTTTAACTGTTTTTTTCTGACTCCTCTGTGGGGACCATCGAACCACCTGGATCAGGCGGAGCAAGGCACACATCCATGAGTGAGGCTCTAGCCTGAATTTTCCACCTCAGAAAAGAACAAACTCAGAGTGTTTGCATTAAGTGAGAGACTCAAAAATGTTATAATGTGCACAGGGCTCAGATTTATTGGGTTTCAATCAGCAGCAGCAAGAGAATCAATGTGATACACAGGCTAACACAGTCCTCTTAAAACTTCAAAGAGCTATAAACATTCAGCCTTACCTGAGCCAACTCGCCGATGGTCGCAAGGACACTAATGACCACTCCAGGGTTGGGGTCTGGGTCTTTCAGCTTGAGAATGAGAGCCTGCAAAAGCAAAGGTAACAGGGTCACTTGACTGATTAAACTGGTGCTCCCTATAATTTTAATTATGAGGCAAAAAAGATTTAAAGAGCTTCAGGAAATTAGATTGTAATGGATCATAGATTTTGCATTGGAGCCCAATTACATTGTCTTTTTTAATAGGGATGGGCATGAGTATTCATTTTGAACGTCAGTATTCGTTACACATATTGAGATTCAAGTTCTCGCATTTCATTGGACAGGGTGAAGTCACGTGCGCAGCCACATACAACACAGAAGCAGGTAAGCCCCGTCACTTGACCCCAAAATGGCGGCGGCGAAGAAGTTGAAGAATGACGTTTGTAAGTATTTTGAAAAGATCGACGAAACAACCGTGGAGTGTAAGCTGTGTAATATCAAACTAGCTTATCACAGAACAACCAGTTCTATGCTCAACCATTTGCGCATCAAGCACAAAGAGAAGACCGCGGAGACGGACAGTAGGCAGCCTCCTATCACCGGTTTTGTTAGCAGTGCTAGCAAACGCCACTGCGATGCTGCAAGAGCAGAGAAGATAACCCAGATTCTAACGAAGATGCTCACTACAGATATGCTCCCGTTAAGCTTCGTTGAGGGTGAGTGTACTGTTTAATAGGCTAATTAAAGCCTGGCTGTTCAATAAACAAGCTTGAAATTGCACTTGAGTTCTGTTGTTGGCCTAAATGTGACCCTATTCTAATGCTGTTTTTTTTTTTTGTTTGTTTGTTTGTTTTGCGAGTACTCGTCAATAATGTAATGAGAGTACTCGAATATGGAAATTACTTAGAATGCCCATCCCTATTTTTTAATCCACCCATTATTCTTCCTTATCGAAACCTGGCACCTAAATGACCCACAATGCAACTCAGCCACTGACAGTTTGGTCAGAGATTTTGGGTGTGCTCTGCTAATAACGGCTAGCCCTAAGCTGCTAGCTTCAAGCAGAGATGAGGGGTGGGCTACAGACATCTGGTAAGCTAACTTCTTTCTAACTCCACACCCTTGAGACTTGAGACAATTTATCAGACTTAACCTATTAGACACACACCCTCTGAAGGAACAAAAAGTTTTATCCAACTTTTTTCACACATGCAGTTAAACTCCTCCGTGACACCTGCAGGTACCTGGGCATCCACATAGACAATAATCTGGTGTGGAGAGCCCATGTAGAGGTCATCTGTTCCAAAGTACAGCAGAGGCTGCACTTCCTGAGAAGGCTCAGAACCTTTGGTGTGACCCAGGAAGTGCACTTCCTATTCTGTCACGCCCTAATGGAAAGCCTCCTCCACTATTGGATCTCTGCATGATTTAGTCACCTGACAGTCCAATCAAAGGCCAAAATCAACAGACTAATACAGAAAGCCATTAAGAATACGGGGGTCCGTCAACATCCCAGTCTTCACAACATTTTTCAACAAACCATAATAAGACAGGCACAAAAAATCATCTCAGATCCAACTCATGCTCTTCACCCTGAATATCAGCTCCTCCCCTCAAGCAGACGGTACAGAGTTCCCCCAAAGCAGACACAACCGGTTCAAAAACTCCTTTGTCCCCCTGTCCATTAAAGCCTTCAACACCACCTAGGCTGCAATGTGTTTATACCATGGTTGTTTTTCTTATTTTGCTGTGCAGCACAGTATTATCGTAATATGTGTGCATTTTTCATGATGATACAGATGGGCATGTGCAATTAATGAGTGTATGTATTTGTTGTTTTTTACATTTGCATTTTACTGTGTTGGATGTATTTATTGGTTTTACTGCAGACACTGTGAAGTCCAAGGCAAATTTCCCTCTGGGACACTGAAGTCTGTCCTATCCTAACTCCCCAAGACCTGTAAAAAGACTGATGTGTGAAAAATCCCATTTACTTATTCAGAGTCTACTGAGTACACATGCTCCTCTCAAGTGACCGCCTGGTTTACATTTATACACTCAAACACCTTCATAATGGAGAACTTCCAGACTTGTACCTTGAGGATGGGCTCCATATATGGCCGTATGAGACGGGGGGCATTTGAGACTAGATGACCAAGCATACGAGCGCTCTGCTCTTTGTTTCTGCCCACACCACTGTGCTCCAACTCTGTTAGGATCTGCAACAAAATTCAAAACAGAATTAAGTATAACATTCCCATTCTTGTGTATCTGGAATACATCTGAAAGGTTAAAGCATAGTGTACACAATACTTTGGATAGTTTAAGCTATGCATAATACATTGGTCTTTGCTGCCATCTAAAGGTGTCTGTTGAAACAGACTGAATGTTTACTGAAGTAGATGTGTATTTACAGACAACACATGATCTTCAAATGTATTAACAGATAGTTAAAAAAAAAATCATAATATTGTATTTATATTTAACATAATTTTCTTGTAATTAACATCATCTTCATTTAAAGGAATAACAATATTGAAAACCATGTTATTTTATGAATTTAGGAAAACTGAATTACTCTTGGAAAGATTTCCAAATGTCTTGAGTTTTATTAATGACAATATGTCCCCAGCAAATCAGCTGTTAAACATCTGGGGTTGACAATTGTGGGCATATCAGAGTATCAAATAAGGTGTGAGGGAAAAAAAAAAAAAAAGCCAAAAAGTGCAATAACATGGTGAGGTAGATTGTTTTGGTGTTTTCAGTTGAACAGTTAAACATCAAATCCCTTCTTAAGGTGTAAAATAAAAATCCATTTACAACATTCAACACAATAAATCAATAAACTATACATAGTGTGCCATCTGTCATGCCTCTCCTACCTGAATGAGCATCTTGCGTAGGAAGGGCATTACAAAGGCAGGGTTCATGCTGCTGAGGCGTCCGATTGTACAGATGGCCAGCTCTCTGATCTCAAACACCTCATCATTCAGTGCAACAAACAGAGCCTGCAAGTTTTCAGCCTGGGCAAGGTGGGCATCAAAACGCTCATCAAGAGATGCCAGGACACAGTATCGAATGTCTGGATCTGCATGAACACAAGGACAAGAAAAAGTTAGACATTTTGACTCTCTTATAGCTCTTATTACCTTATTGTCATAGGTAATTACAGCTGATTACAGGTGCCACAAATGCAAGATTTCTTAAGATCAAATTTTGTTTTCTTGCAAATTTGAGTTCCCTTCACTTCAATCGATCCCATCAAAAAAACACTTCTCCTGCCTCCCTCTTTTTTTATTCTTTCATGTGTTACCTGGGTCAGTGATGCCAACAACTAGCAGCTTGCTGAGCACATCTGCAACAACCTGCACAGCAGTCTGGCTGACAACATGGCCGCTGATCAGGTGGATGGAGGGGGTAAGGAGGCGTGAGCAGGTCCGGGCTGCCTCCATCCGGATTTCCTTGTGTTCGCTGTTTAGGAAGTGATCAGCACAGTGGCGCACAAACTGGGTGAGGGAGTGTCCTAGGGAAAGAACAAAGAGTTAGATTTGGCATTACAACTACTTTTTACATAGCTGTAGTTTCAGGCAAGTTAGGATACTAATGCAGATAATCATAAAACAGGTTAGGTGAATTTTTGCACTTTTGATTGCATGTTTAAGGCTTCAATTTCGATCTCTGAAGAAGTCTGGTGTTGTTTGAAGGTGCAAGATTGTCAACAACTTGTATTCAAAAGAAGAGCCTGAAATATTCCATAACTCATAACAACCCCTATTCAGTTGTGCAGTCTGACCACAGCTTGTTCTTTACACCAAAAGGCAAACCCACCCCACCATCTGCTGCAGGATTACAATATAAGACTTTGCTGAGTAATTGTTTCACCCTGGGCTGCTGTATGATTCAGTGCTGATATGCTATCTTGAGCCCCATGGGTCCAGTCTAGAAAACAGCTGGACACACCCATCAACATAACCACTCCAGACTTTTTGCAGTTCACTTTATCATTTCTTACAGACTAAATGCCCCCCCCCCCCTCCTTTTGGCTCCAATCTTATACCTGATGGTTTATGCCTTCAATTTAGAATCACTACATTTTTTTTTCAAATTCCCTGAATGTGCAGTGCATAGGAACTGAGGCATTAACTCCATCAGTTATTTCTTTTCATGCTTTATGATTTTTAGGGCTGTCATGCCCACATTTAAAGTCATCATTTTTCTCTACTGACAGAACCAAATCTACGATTGATGGGTCTTTTGCAATGTTCTTGCCTTCAAACTCAAAGCTGCCAAGTGTGCGCAGGGCCAGTGTGATGCTGCCTACGTCACTGGCCTCTGGGATGTTTGTGAGGCTTGGCGAGGCCAGCTGGTGAGCCAGGCCTTTGGGCATGCCGGGGTGACGCAGCGGCTTGTGCATCAACACCAGAGAAAGCATCTTCAGCAGGCCATCCTGGATGTCCTTCTTCAACTGGGGGATTTGACGGCTCAGGTCATACAGCACTGCTGTCAGTGCAGGACTACACGACAAAGACAAAATAGACAAACAACCAAATATCAGCATCACTGTCATCTTTAAATGAGGACGAAGAAGTGTGCTGTGGTGCATTTATCAACAAACATAACTATACAAGCCGTTTAAGTCAAGCTCTGGATTTAAACCCTGCAACTTATATAAAGCCAGCCAGAAATCAGTCTTTCCTACCTGAGGCCCACAGCCAGCATAGGTTCCAGCAGCTCCTTGATGTCTGGCTGGATGCTGGGACCCATGGCTCTGGAAAGCATGCTGATACAGGTGAACACTGTGGCGTCCACCTGCATGGTCTTTTGCCTCCTGCACACATGGAAGACCGCAAAGTTAGGGGAAAAAAGAACACACTCACATGGTAAGTCTCTTTTCTTTTCATAGAAAATAACTCAAAATTATTTTTAAACAGGTCTACCTTACAGATTTTAAACTAGCACTTGAAAATTGATGAGTCTCTCATCTGATATAGCACAACCCAAAACTACAACACTAGATTCTTCAAACATGTGAAGCAACTATGTAAAAGCAAAGCAAGAAAAGAGAAGTGAACAAAACATGGGTTGTAAGACAATAACTATTAAAACACAACAAAATAGAAAAAGACAACTCAAACGTATCACTATCTGAATATGAGGAAATGTAATTTATCGTATACTATTACATACTATCAGAGCTAATGCCATATATTTAATTACTAACTTGTGTGCAAAGTCCTTGGGTGGCAGGGCAGCCTTGATTATCTCAAGGATCTTTGTGAGGTAGGGCTGGATTTCTGCCCTGACAGCCACCACCAGCAGCCCAAGAGCCTGGAAAGCTGCCGTCCTCTCCTTCTCCTTCTTCAGACAGGCCAGCAGGTAGCCCATAGTGTCTGACAGGTACTGGTCTGCACAGTGGAACAAACAGGTGCACAGTGCAAATGTTTAGATACAGACAAAGGGCTTTGCATCAGCTGGTACACATAAAACAATGGACTGGAAGAAACTACAAGCAATTTAATACGGCAAAGCCTGTTGATATTGTTGAAGGGGAGCCCAAAAAGAACTGGTCATGAAATCCTCACTTGTCTTGTGCATAACCACCAAAAAGCCCAGTGATAGGAAAGAATGCATTAAAGATAGATCAAGCTGAATCTTGGATTACATTCAAACATTAACTAGTCCCACCTGTAAAGGTATGAGGCTGGAAGGCAGCCAGGCGTGGAAGCAGGTTGAGGATGGTCATCTGGATCAGAGGGTTTTTACTGGTCCTGTATTTCAGCACCCACCGACACACCTGGACAAAGCACATAAAAGTTTGTTTCAAATAAGTCATATGGTCCTCAAAACAGAACTGGCCTTGTGGTGCTGACCTTGTACACACTCTTCATGAGACTTCTGCAATGTTGTGGAAGCTAAGAAGCATTATTTCTATCATCAAGTCAAAGTTTCAACTTCTTGACTGTCAAAATTATATTTCATATATAAATTATAAAAGAATTATATTTCTATTCAAAATGCAACTTTGATGGTGCTGGTCCTATAAACCAGTGTGTACTTGGCAGTCTTGGACTACTAGTCAAAAGAAACTCCTGAACAATTGTAGAGCTGAAAACTAATTTAACTGTACCACTGAATGTCTGTAGTCACATTTTAAGACAACAGACATATAGCCTTAATGTTTCTATTACTAGTGCAGCCCTAGTATTTCTTGTTTTTAACGTGTTGTCAAAAATACCCACAGATCATCATGGTTCCTAGACTGAAACGAAGGCTAGAACTTGAGTTCAGTCAGCCCAGCCACTGTCAAAACTTGAATTAAATTATCAAACAATAATACAGCGGCCCTCTTGCAGTAACTCTGAAGATCCCCTGGGAGTCACGGACCCCTGTGGAAGACCTAGGGTCCTGAACACACCTCTCTGACAGTCTAAACAAAAACTGGACACTAAACTTCAACTTCAACAGCATCATTTACTGCAGGACTGCCTTCACCCAAAACCAACTCATCCTAGCCCTCATGAAACACAAGCTAATGACAGAAGGTGGAGAAAGACTAGGGCAGAGTGAAAAAAGGGAGGAAAATAGATTTCACCAAACTGGGATGCACATTTTTCATTTATGCATTATTGTTTTCATTGAAAAGGGACATACATCTGTGTGTAAGCCATAAAACAAAAAAACACTGAGCTAAGATGCAGGTAAAAGTGTCAATTTGCATAGTCTGTTGTGCAGCTAAAAATTGTCACAATCATGCTTTTAATAAATAATACAAAAATGAATCCATACTTAAACTTTGTTCCATCAGAGCCATAACACTTAAATAATCTTCTCATTTTGTGTTTGGGTGGTAGTAAAAGTGTTATTGTGGCGCATTTATGAAGACATTAATCCAGCAATGGCAATGGTACTAGGAGTGTAAGAAGTCACAGTGTTGTTCATAACACAGTTTAGGAGACATGGTTTGATGTGAGTTCGGTAGAGCGGAAAAATAAAAAAGATACGCTTCTTTTCATTTACTTCTGTATGATACTGTACGAACATTGAACAAAATGAAACACTTTTCCTGAGGCAACAGGTCACAACAGGCTACAACGCTGAAACGCATCACTTATGGTATGAAATTAAAAATACCAAAGTACATAGAATGATAAAAAAAATATCTCCCACCTCCACCCTGTCATTTGCGCTTGCCATAGTTTGACTGACTCAAACGCCTGTATTCTGCGTGTGGCTGCTTGCACCAGACTATGTCCCCTGACCCTGTACCATACGAATACACAAATTGTTACAGCCCTAGACGGTACACATCTCTTCTTTGGACAAAAAAATCTATTAACGCAAGATCAAGCAATTACCAAAACAACTGCCGCATTCTGGGAAAAGACAGACCTCTGCTGTAAAATCTACCTGGTCAAATCGCTCCTCCATCAGTTCCCGGCAGTATCGACTCTCCACCAGCGAGCTTTTGGCAGGTACTGGCGTGGCTCCAAAGCTGAGGAAGCCCTGAGGCGTGCTGTAGCCCAGCAGGCCCAGAAGGGCATTTGACTGCTGTGGCTGCACCGACTGGAAGCTAGTGAAGGGTGTGATGTGTCGGGGCTTGGTTCCAAATCCCATCAGTTCCTTGCAGTACTTATCATGGACCAGCTGCTGCTGCGTGATTTCCTCCATCTCCTCACGCATGCGCTGTAGTAGAGATAAGACAGTGAGACAAATGTTTTGCTTGTGGATGTGAGAATGTTTCCACAGTGAATTCAGCCCTCACCTCTCCTTCCATGCTGCTGATGCGAACCAGCTCATTTAGGATCAGAAGAGCACCATGGACCCTGTCATCACGATTCATCCCTTTTTCTTTGGCCAAAGTCTCATCGAAGCCTTTCTCCGCTTCCTCAAAGGTTTGCTTTTATAGTAAAAACAAACATTCAGGTTGCATATTACAGGTACAAATACATATACTCAGGATAAATACTTCTTTAGGAACAAAAAATGATTTGTCCAGATACAGTAGAATGTCTTACTTTGTACCACTGTGGTTTCTGCATTTCCTTGGTCTCCCTCTGTGTGGTGAGGATGAGACAGGCTCGCAGCGCAGATACAGCCCCTTCTCGGATGGCTTGCTTGGGGTCCCATACCGCGTAAAAGATGTTGTCAAAGAAGGGCTGCACTTGCTGAAAGAAGAAGGTGGGTGCACTAACAGCCAGCTCCCTCAAAACCAACACCTGGAAAAGACAGAAAATCATTTTATTGCTGTCATTAATTGCCCTTCTTGGGTTTATTTCTTTACAGCGTAAAAACTCAGAAGTCTGAACTCAGATATTGAACAATCAAACACAGACAAATCAAAACTTTAACACTTTACAAAGGGTTAATAGCAGCATTAACTCCAATTATTTTGGTGGCCTCAAAAGTCTTCCTTCTTCCTCCTGATGTCTGCACAGAGTCAGTATGAATACAATCCCTGTCCACAAAAACACATTTTCATTTCAAAAATCATCTTCCTTTAGAGTGAATCAGATCAGATCAGTCACTGATTCTTGTATCATCTAAAAAATAATTACACATATTTGAAAATTGAAAACTGGAAAACCCTTCAGAAAAAAATAAAAATAAATTTGATTTGATCAGTGTTTCTATTTTAGCATTTCATCCCTGTGTTTGGGGTTATCATAACAGACTCCTCATTTCACCAGAGGAAAAACTGCAGAGAAGATAAACAAGGCCAAAGTGCAATTGTGTCAGAGAAACTTTTAGTTATCACACAGAACTACCGTTCAAGAAGAATTGACAAGCTCAAGCACATCTGCATCTTTTGTGCAGCGTGAGTTTGCTAGGTGAGACAACGGTTCATTTTTAGCTAGGTTTGAAACTCTCAAGTTTGTATTTTAAAGCTATAGTGCGTAACTTCTACAGGTCCGTAAATGTCCGTTTCACCCAAGCCACTACTAGAGGAGATGACACAATGCTGATTAAGCCGATCGGCTCCTCTAACATCTCGCGGTATTTTTCAATATATATAATTTTTAGTATGCGTGTAGACCAGCGACATTCCCGCGCTGGCGCACAGGAAATGCTTCCTCACAACAAAAAGGGCAGGGGGAGGAAGAGCGGAGAGTGTCATAGCAAGAGGTAGAGCGCAGGTAGAAAGAGAAAGCAACATGGCGGAGAAGCAGCGGAGACACGGTTCAGAAGTGGATCCTACCACAAAGAAAAAGGCTGGACGTTCGGCTGAAGGTCTATTAGCAAAGAAGGAAAGTGACCGACGGAGAAGGCAAACAAGGATTTGTATTGGCGTCGCTTTTCCTCGGTGGAGAGCCCTGAAGGAAGAAATTGGGCTGAGGGCAGACACGGATGTTGCCTTGCTACTGTTGGATAAGTAAGTGACTTGGTTTATAATTATATTATGAGTAGTATGAGTTGCTGTTACATGTACTGGACCTAGTACTTTACTATTATTTTCTTGGAAATGGTGCTATGAACATAATGTAATGTTAGCAGCCTGGTGTTCGCCACGTTGTGTAGCATTGTGTACACGGTGTGAAGCGAGTGTTACTCTGTGTACACGGTGTGTGGCGACTGGCGAGTGTTACTCTGTGTACACGGAAGTGCCGCCGGTTCATTAGTTGTAATAACGCATTATCCGCTGGGATGCGACAGAAGTTAAAACAAAACAAAAAAGGCGACAGTGCAATGAGACAATCTTGAGTCAGACTGTCCAATGCCCTCATTTCCACCACACATAAACACCACCAAGAAGTGGTGGTATTTTAACAACAAACAACACAATCCCAGCTGTCTGCTTGTCACTTACTGCAGCATGGCGTCTCCCTTCATTTCTGTCTGCTCCCAGCCACTCCAGGGCCCTCTTCACCTCAAACTCTACATACTCTGCGGTAAAGGTGTCCCCTGCCATAGACAGGTGGCCCATGGCTTTAGAGGCCATCTCCATCACCACTGGGTCACTGGAGGGCAGCAGGTTGCGCAGGTAGTTGGCAAAGCGGCTGATCCTGGTGGCATTGCCTCCCTCGACTCCAATCAGACTGACTGAAACAGTAATTTACTCTTTTACACATGTGCTGTGTATGCTATTATACACATTTTTGTAAGACATAATTCTAGGGCAGTTTGTTGTAGCTACATAATTCTGAGGAAATGTTTATCAATGTTTATGGCTTACCAATGGCGAGAATCCCTCCTTTCTTCTCATTCACATCAGAGCTGGATACCAGCTCAAATATGTGGTGGTTTAACTCATCATAGAATGTAGTGGCTTCATCTTGGCTTAACTGTAAAAGACACAAAACTAATGTCACAGAAAAATACAAATAGAAAAAGCTAAGTTGGTGACTCTAACTTGTATGAGAAAGTAAAAAAAACTGGTGACAAAAAGTCTGCACAATCACTCCTGAATCAGTGTAAACAGCTGATCACTACAGCTCTTGTGGGCAAAAACACTCACACAGTATAGAGTATATTGGAGTGATATATCTGCATGCAGGTGTCTATTACATCCATGTTTACTTTTGCTATTACCTCTCTGAGCTCTGTAGTCACATAGTGCTGCAGATCTTTGGCAGATTTTGCTCTGGTGTCTTCATTTCTGCTCTTCAGCCCACCGACAAACTGTTGCAGCACAGTGGCTGTGCCTGACATGATCACCATTTGGATGGCCAAACCTGCAGAGACAAATACAAATGATACATGAAACATTCTGGGTTCTCAAAGAAAAGGGTTAACAAGTTTAAAGACCATACTTGGAAAGAAAGTTTACTTGTCCTGAGCTGTTTACACAGGTCAATGTTGCTCTTAGCTGACGTTACAACTAGCTAACGTGTCTAGTTAGCTTGTTAAACACATTGTCAACCCTGCTAATTAGCAACATACATGCAGAGACATTTCACTAACTAAAGATGACATTCTCTACACCACTAACACTCAACTGAAAGGACCAAGTGGTATATGTCAGGTACGGGCTAACCCTGAACCACACCAGTGTATCATGCTGGTTTTGTTTAGCTAATGTTAGCTAGTGCTAACGTTCAGCTACTGTAGCAAAGCGTTAGCAAGATAGTGTAAGTCGCTTTGTAACACTTACGTGTTTCAATTTATATGTCGGCCACTTAATTACTATTCGGCTGTTGCAAAATATCTCTCATTGTACGACTATCTAGCTGGCACAGGGAAATGTTAGCTTGCTACGGTATCTCTTTTTTCAGTTGGACCGTCTCCGGCAGGGTACAGTCAGGCAGCAAACCTCACGAGCGCTGTGTTGCGTTGAGTAGCCTGCGCAGAGGTGATGCGCATGTCGCTCACATGTCCTTGAATACAGTTTCAGATAGCAGTGTTAATGACACTTTACTTGAACTTTTGTTTTGTAATACTTTATACCGTATACCTCTACATTCCAAGATTGATTCCAAAAATAAATGTTATACGTTTTATTCGTATAATTTGTATGAATTACCTCGCACTAACACTACCTAAGACTCTGCCTTATATATATA